TTCATTTTTTGAGAGGCACGATCAAAAAATAATTTAAAAATGGAGCACTACTGCTGTTAAAATATATATTTATTGCTGTAATAATTATTTATAATTTAACAAGAGTGTACTAACTAGTTAGTCATTTTAAGTAATATATTAGTTTTAACTTTGTAATTAGGTAATTTCAAATTTTTTTAACAAATTTTCAAATTTTATAAAAAATAGTTTATACATCTGAATAATTAATTTATAATGGATAAAAGAGTTCAAATTAAATTCTAATCATCTTTATAACTTTTAAATATTTAATATAATTTATTTTTGAAATTAAAACCTTCAATAATTAATTCAATGTTAGTTTTTAATTACACTAAGAACATAAATTTAATAATTGAATATGTTTATGCCTCAGCGAATCAAAATATATAAGTAATATTAAGAAATTAGCTAAAAAGAGGTAATAATAGTTAGAATTATTAATTTTTTAATATATTTGTAAAAACTATCTTGAATACATAAATAAAAATATAAATATAAAAAGTCTTCGATTTATAAAATAGATTTTAGATATTTTAGCTTTTTTAGAAATTTTTGATTTCAAACTTTTTCTAAAAATTGAAAACGAGTTAATTATAAACTTATGCACGTTTAGATTGTATATAGTAATATGAAAAATTTCATTTCGTAGTTAAAATTTGTATCACTTCATTCATTAATGCATTTAAACTTTATGATAAATTAAAAATTACCTTATTCTATTAAAATAATTTTTATGGAATTTCGGAGAATTTATCGACAAATTTAAAATTTGATAAAAACTGATTATTTAAAATATTTTTTATGTTTTTATTGATAAATTTATATTAATTACAAATTTGAAATATTTAAAAAACTATATGTTAACTAAGAAAATGTTTAAATAAATTATTTGCTTAATATAAACTGTATATAAACTATAAAATACAAATAATTTAATCCTAGTTTTTAAATATCTTGTTAATAATTAAGTAATACATTTTCTATGATTTTTGATAAACTTAAATAAAGTCTTGATAAACGTTAAAGACATCGTTATTTTATATTTAAAAAGTAATACATATGTATGTAGTTCTTACTTTCTTACTTTTGATTATCATTATAAATTAGAAATGTCTCAGTATTTTGAATAAAAAAATTCAATATTTTGTTTGTAAGATATAATTAGATTGAATAAATTAAAATCAAATTAATATGAAAAAATAAATAAAAAAGAGATTTTGATAAATTTTAACATTTAAAATACGCTTTAAAAAGTTGTGATGGTAAAATGAAATACTTAATAAAGTAAATACTTTAAAAAGAAATACTTTACAGAAAAAACAACATATAATAACTGAAATTTAAGAACACGGATAAGTGTCAAATTCATTGAATGTCCTTTATCAAAGTGAACTTTAGAAAATATTAAACATGAGTAATAGTACATCAAATTACAATTATAATTATTTCTTGAATAATAGTCTGATTATTTTTATTTGATGATGAATAAATTTAATCTGTTAATAAATGTATTTTCTTTATATTGTCTGTAAAAAATATAAGTGACCAAATATCTTATTGAAAAAAAATATTAATTTTATAATAAAGTTATGAATAATGAAATTTTTGATACATTTCGTACAATTAATAATTGAAATATAAGTTAAAAACATAAATAATGAAAATAATTATTTAATCAATATTTATATTTAAAAATGAACTATTATATTAATCTCGTAAATTAAGGAAATATGGTATGGTAATACAACATTTAATATAGTTGTTGGCGATGTTTTAAAACATAATAGTTTTATAGAATGTATAAATTATACTATAATATTGCATAATATAATTGGAATGTATAAATATGTGTTTAATAAAAAATTACTAAGTGAGAATCTATGAATTATAAATACAATAAAAAATAATGCTAATCAAAATGTTTAATTTTTAATATCATTGAATGAAAAAATAATATTTTTATTAATAATTGTTTTGCAGGATAAGTTTTATTTTTAATCAATTGTTTTGTATTCATAATAATGTGAAGCTCGAAAAAAAACTATTGTATGAATAAAAAACTTACAAAAACAAAATTTGTTTTTTGAAGGATTAATCAACAAATATATATTTTAAGGTAAAATAGAAGACATTTTGATAAAATATTAAATTAATGCCCTTAATGTTACAAATTTAAAATGTTGATTATGATTTAATCTTAATATCATTATTTTAAAATTATGTGATATTTAGAAACATAAAAAATAAGAACTTCAGAATAAAAGTATATTTATTATTTGTTAACGGTATAAGTATGCGTAAAAGGCGTGCTGAGTATCTTAAGTATCCATCGTAGACGCAATACAAAAATGTTTTTATAAAATAATAAATATGTAATTAAAATTAAAAACTATGAAATTGTTAATACTTGTAAATTAATATATAAATAAATAAACAATTTGTTTATATATGTAATAATATAATGTAATAAATAAAAGTTTAGCCTGAAGTATTATTACTATTTATTATTATTATTATTATTAGCATTTAACAAATATAATAATACTTCTGGTGAAGTATTATTTATTTATTTTTATATATAAATTATTTATTTAATTATATATATATTGCATTTTTTCACGCCTAGTTACGTGTGTATCTCGTTTTCGTATTTCTGATTATTAATACATATCATAATGGTTATAGCAAAACTCAAGTTCACAATCCGTTTGCAACCCAATTTTAAATTTATTTGAATTCATAAATTTATTGTTGAGCTAAAAGTATTTTCGATTTTTTAAAAAGAAATATTAACATTCTATTTTCACATACTATTGATAATTTTCAAAATACTATTGATGAAATTCAAACAAGTTTGATGTTGTTAATATTACTAGTAATATAATGCTGTATTTTGTTAATTTAGAACATTATAAGGCATTGAAATTAATTGATTTTCAATCATTTGTCTGAAAATTTAAGCCCAAAAAGTTATCCAGAAATATTTTTTCACTAGTATACAAAATTAACAGAAATTGAGAGAATATTTACCTCTGTATATCTTGATCAAAAAGAATGAACGTGTTTATGATTGATAAATTTTATTTGATTAATTTTCAAAGATTTTTTCAATTTAAACGTTATACGAGTAAAATTTACATAAGTAAATAATAATAGTTTTAAACAAAATTTATGATTTTGGAATTACTTTTAATTATACAAGTATGAATAAGGTCTATTATTATATTAATTGTACTTCTTACATTTTTATCTTATCTTATTTAAATCATTTAAAAGCATGTAAAATTTAAACGTATACGTCTTAGCATTTATAAACCAACATTTCATAATGGTGAAATGTATGTTACTTTTAATACTTATAAGTATATTTTTTTACGAAACTTTTATTTTTATAATAAAAATAATTATAACTAATTTTTATATTTGTATCAGTGGTGTTTTATTTAAATTAAATAATAGTGCAATTTCAGAAAAATATATTTTAAAAATAATAATAATAATTTTTTTTTTCGTAAATTAAAACTTATGAATTGAAATAATTTAAAAAAAAAAAAAAAAAAATTGGCTACAAATTTATCTATAATAAACTAAACATTTAAGTTTAAACATTTTTGTAGTGGTCTTAAAAGGTTTATTCATGTTTCAGTGTTCTTATGTTAAGAAAATATTTACAAAGAATTTAAAGTAATGTGTTCTTAAAATTAAATTTTAAATAAAATACAGTGTGAATAAGAAGAAATGAAATGAATTAAAACTTAAAAATATAATTATAACTACATGTATTATACTAGAATAAATATTGTTATTTTTCATTTATTATTTGATATTTAAATGTTGATTAATCAAATTGAATTAATTAAATTTATGTATATTTATATATATATTTAAATTTATCAAAGAAAATCAGTAGGTAAATATAAATTAAAATAAAAATAATTATAAAAATTATTAGTATAGAGAGTAGAGTCCTCTCAGTGGAGGTACTACCGAAGTATATAATTTAACATTAGTTATACTAATACTAAAAACTATCAATTAGGTGTTATATTTATTATAACGATAATCAATGCATTTTATTATTTTAAAATTTATACTTTATAATATTTTTAAATTAACATGCTTATTTCAAATTGTTTGATTTTATATTTTCTGTATAATTTTATAAGTGTCGATTTATTTTTACACTAGTTATTTTATGATAATGATATACTACTAAAAATGTTGCTTTATAATGTTGCTTTATAATAATCATTTTAAAAAAATATATAAGTAAGACTTCCAGATGGAAAAATCTAGTTCTGGACTGGAAAGGATGGAAGCTTGGTTGTGAGACGGGATGGTCTTAAAGGCCTAATAAACCAAAAAAAAAAAAATAAATAAATAAATAAATAAAAAAAAAATGTAATAAAATATTGTAAGGTAAGAAATCAGTTAGCTACAAAAGTTTCTATAAACACCACGGACGGTATTCATTAGAAGACGAAGTCCATACGTCCCCGAGCGTTCACAATTAAGACACCTCCGAGCGTATTATGAGGTATTCCGGTCGACTCGTCGTTTTGCCATCTCCATATCCGTTTTTGCGTAATTGACCGGGACTGCACGCTATTATTATAATTATATCCACTGTACAGGGTACCGGTTTATCAATATAAAAATAGAGTGGTCGAGGTGAGAGACACCACGACTGCGTGTTCTCGTATTCGTGTTTTTGTCTTACTTTTTCCGTTGCAAAAACAACATGGGCGGCTGAGAAGAAGATTTTACCGATGTGTCTCCGGGACCACGCCTTAGGGTAATAGAACATGGGCGTAGGGTGATATATATATTTTTTATTATTCTTATTATTATTTATACTTTGGCCGGTATCCTCATTTTGATTGTGTAGTTGTTTGTATGTGTTAAATTATTTTGCAGTTTTGAATTATTATAACTTATGATGACATATCAAAAAATGTAGATCGGTTTTTGATTACGGTCCCTCACGAAGTAGCCATCACCATTATTATTATTAAAATTAATTCTCGGTAAATGTATTTTGATTTTTTAATTTATTTTTTATTCGAGTTTTATGCCCGAATGAGCTTTCTCGGCACCAAGATAATATACTAATTTCTTTTATTTTTCTGATTGTATATTTTTATCTGTTTGGTGGCATCTCCTTATTTCCAATTTATTATGATTAAAGAAAAAAAAAAATCCTATAGGCTCCGGCAAACGCCTCGGCCATAGGTTGACGACCCGATACGGTCCGTCACATAATGCTCCACTCATCTGACCACGTATAAGAGTGCGAGATGTTACAATATAAAGATCATTTTATTCAAGAGTAATTTAAAATTGTAAATCATAGTGATAATTCTATTAAAGTTATAATGAGTAGAGGAGTTATATTATTAGTTCAACCATATTTTTTTTATTTAAGCATATTATAAGTTCTGTTTTTAATTTAATTTTACATTTTTGTTTTTAGTAGTCATGGTGTGATTTGGGATTAAACGATTAAGTAATTTCATTTTTTATTTAAAATAGTATATGTAATATATGCGTACTATGTAGATTAACTTGTTCAGGAATTAAAAGTCAATATGTAGAATGTATTCAATCGTATTATTTTAAATAATATAATTCAGTATTTTATGTTTAAAATCATTAAATATATGAAATTATAAATAAACTGATATATTTATTTTAATATAAGTTACTAAAATAAATAAACCTAAAACATACTTAAAAATAAATTTTAAATTATAAAGCAAAACAAAACAAAATAAAACCAAAGAATAATTTTAAATTTATTCGGATTTTTGAATGATAAAAAAATGTAAGATCTACACGTAAAAAATTAAAAACTTTAGGCAAATCAGAGTCGAATCAATAATTTCAAATATCTAAAAATAAAACCAATTACAAAAACATTACATTTCATAAGTAAATTATGAAAACATTATAACTGTTATTTTATTAATATTGTAGATATAATATAAGAAATAAAATCACAGTATTAACGACTAAAATCTAAAAAATACTTGAAATTATTCAAAATAAAATAATTTTATAAGAAAACAAAAATTAATGATTCAAACATACATTTTAAAAATTTAAATTATAAATATAAATTAAAAATATAATTTAATTATTTACTAATAAAATTGTAAAAACAAAATAATAATATAAGATATAGTTAAACTATAATTTAATTTAATTTTGAATGTATTAATAATTATTTAGATATTTTTCATAATTTAATAATGTATATTATGGCAGTACATAGAAACCAGGAAGATAAATATAAATATTGGCATAGTTATAAAAAAAGTTTCGTATAGGTAAATACTTAGTACATATAAATTTTTTTAAATTTTTTAGTATAAATAATAGTTTTAATTATTTAATAAGCTCATGTTAACTGAGTAACACACTTCATTTTTTGCTATATTGATAATTTATTATTTAATATAATACCTATATTTATATCAATCACATCTTAAGTTTTTATAAATACTGAATACAAGTAGCTGATTATTATGTAATTAAAAACTTTTAATTAGTTTTTGAAATATTTTACATTTTAAATACTAAAAATTAGTTTCAAGTAATGAAATATTTAATACATGATTTTTTACTAGAGTCAAGTGATCTTTTGCAATTTAAATAGTAATTACCTTTATCTTCGAAAACAACCTATTTAGCTTATTTTAAAATATACGAATATTATTGATAATATGGACTAAACTACCACTACATATTGTACCATGTTATGGATAATTTTCCGTTTAAGGAATGTAAAACGAACTATCATATATGCAATACTTCCGAAAAGTAATCAGCATCGTTTATTGAGACAAATGATATGGGTAAATAAGACCTTTTTTAAACTTAAAATACACCAATATAATGGTACATGCATTTAAGTATTAAACTTTTAAAGTTTGGTAATGGGTTTGTAATTTAAAGTGTAAATTAATTTATAGTTTCCATAAAATTCTAGAATATTTATTTTTAAAAAGTTGAACAGATTTTAAGAATTCTCATTCAAAGTTTTTAGTTGAAATGTATTTATACTATTTTTATTAATCGTTTTTATATCCATCATACTTTTAAGTTATTTATACTAGAGAAAAGTAAAATTATATAGTATATAGTGAAATTATAACTATGATAATAAAATTGAAAAATATATTTGATTATATAAATTTTATATTTTTAAGTACATATTTTATTATATTTTAACTAAAAAATGCTGATAGTTTTCATTTTTTGCTCATAATTGAATTAAGACAACAATTTATTTTAATTTCATATTTTTACATATCATTTAATTTAATTAAAGTGTATCAAACAAACATTTATATTATTGATAGGGTTTAAACTGTAATATAACATTTGAAAATTTTGATTTAAATTTTTTTTATACAATAATTTTGATTAAAAAAAAATATTTTATAAGGAGATTAAGTATTATTTTTTGATTCTGCGTAGTCTTACATCAAACATATGGTAACCTTTTCTGGCATTTTTTATAAATGTATTAAGTTAATAGAGTACGAATAGAACAAGGTATATCTAGGTATAGTTAAGGAATATAAAACTAGATATATACTAAAATATAATTTACATACAGTACCTACATCTTTTCAATTTTTATTAGCACATTCATAAAATATATTTTGTTAATATGAGCTCGTTTATCATTTATACAGTCCATATAAAAATGTATGTAACTCCATGGATTAAGATTTTTTCGGTTATATTATGGTTAGACTTTTTAAGTTGGTTTATAGAACATTAATTTGTGGTTATACTCATATTATACTGAGTAGTTAAGCAAGTAGCATAATTATAAAAAATTAAACCACAATGTTTGTAAATATTCATGTTTATAGAAGATCCTGATGTAATCTTGCATAAACCCAACCATGTGATAAATATAATAGTAATATAAAAACTTA